TCTGCTAGGGCGGAGTCGCCACCCGCCACCCCGATTCGCGTTTCCTGGGCGTCTTGTGGGTTTCCCTGGCCAGCCCCCCCCACATCCTGATGAAGTCCTTCTTCGCTTGCGCTCGTTGGAGGGCCAGGCCGGTACCTAGGGTTGATCATCGTACAGTGGCCTCTCCCGCCCTCTGGCATTGGCTCATCTTTGAGCTCGATCCTGACGCCGAAAGGTTTTGGTTTAACCGCGGCCACAGATCTCCCGATCCCTTCGCTGGGCGCAGTTTTGCGCCCGGGTCCATTTTTGATGGCCCCGGGGCCCTACAACAGGCCCTTGGCGCCGAAATGGAGTAGAAGCACGCCCAGAATGCAGAAATCAGATCGTCGTTGAGATCTTCGTTGCCCGAGGTGCAGGGTGGTGTGCCAAGCCTGGCGAACAAGCGGGTCACATGTGCCCTAAGTACTTGCAGGTGATTGGATTACTGTGAGCTCCGCTAGGCCAGATCCGAACCCCCCAAAACCACGTAGGGGACACTTGTGACCCACTTGTAAGCTAGTTTAGGCCAGGTATATCCCACCTTCGCATCCACGTCTAGCCTCCCTATGTCCTTGGCGCAATGATTGCCCTAGGCTCACTGGTATATAGGTCGCAGTGTGCTGCTAGCCCGCCCCTCTGTGGGGCCTCTGAGGCAAATGGCTGCGGAACTGGGGCAGCGCTGCTGAAATCCCGCCCATCCCGCCTGCGCGAAGCTGTGTACGCAACCCTCTTGCCAGAAACATAATTCACAACGACCTTCACATGATGCTCGAAGACTGGGGGCGGACAACGGGGTGTTCTCAGCTGTGATCTTAGCGGAGCTTCTGTTCGAGAAACAGGACGTACGCGCCCAACCACGTAAGTAGTTAAACACGGGACCCCAGACCACGAGACCAGCCGCGTGGTACGAGCGCTTGCGCAAGGCGTGCTCTCGAAACCAGCGTGGATTCATGCTTCGTTCTTGATCCGTGGGCTCCCGGAGGCCTTCCTCGGAGGCCCCCGGCAAAGCTGGTGCTGGCCCGAGCGGCTCGAGGCCATCACGCGTGCGGCGCCTGGTCCGCGAGGGCGTCGGGGGCCTTGCAGCGCTCGGCTCCGGCGGCCGGCCCGTGCTCTCACAGGAGCAAACGCCATGGGGGAGACGGGTCCTATCGGTACGGTCGTAGTCTTCGATCGTACCGACAGCAAGATGCCCTTACTTGAGGTGAACGGGCCTTTTCGCTGGAGACGTCCGCACAACTTGGTTCCAAGACGTGGTCCGAGAGGCGCCGTTGACGGAGTGGTTGTTTGGGTTGCCCCAGGTGCTGGGGGAAGTTGGGGACCAATAGAATGTGACAAATCAAACGAGAAGTCGCCAAGTGGGTACGGAAAGAGTGGGTACGAAGACCGACAGCAGTTCGTGCTCATTTTGAACAGGGCTCGCTGTCCGCGTCGTCGCGGGCGTTGCTCATGGGAGACAGAAGGCCGCCTGGCCAACAGCGGCTGCTGCTGGTTTTGAGCAGCGTTTGCTATTGGGCATCGCACCAGTTTTTGTCGTACCCATGTTGGGCGTCCAAATTTTGAGGGAAACAGGTCTTGAGGTTTTCCACGGTTTTCGGGCGGGTTTTCCACGAGCCCTGGGACTGCCAGAACACGGCTCAGGATGCAGATCTCGTCCTGGGGAAGGGCTTCCAGGGGCTGGGGCCCGTTGCCCTCAGGACCCGTATCCCCCCTGCTAGAGCAATCAGGTGTCTCAGGCCTTCCAGACTCGGAGGTTGATAGACCTCCTACCCTGACACGTCGATTAGCGAATTGGCAGTTTTCGGTTCGCGAGAGGGCGTCGCGGCCGTCATTTTTGGGAGTCCAGGTCCGTCGGTTTCGGTCTTAGGCAGTTTTCACTAAAGGGTGGTTTACTAAAGGGAGGTTTGTTTGTCCACCGCCGACAGATGGGGTCCGAGCAGACGGGATCGGAGAAACGCGCCGCATCGCCGATTCCTCGGCGACGTGGTTCGATGTGGAGCCCGACGTTCTCCCCGCCGAGAGGGTATTCTCTTTTCAGGCTCAGGCGAGTTGACTTGCGTGGCAGTTGCTCCCCCCCCCGCTGCCTTTTGAGGGAGCGCTGGGCCGTGTGACGGCGTGCAAGTGTGTCCCCACATGCCTGAAGTCTACATTTCCTTTCGGGCCTCGTCACGCCCCCCTCCCCCTTCATGGACGTAACCTTGCCAGAGCGGAGTCTCAAGAAAAACAGCCTCTTCCCTATTGTTCGGCACGGGCTGCAGGAACGATGGCCGCTAGATGCTCGGGAATTCCTGGAACGTATTCTGAGCCGAGCGTATCACAACATGGTCTCGTCCAAGGAGTCGTGGGCGGAGTCGTCGGTGCCCAGGGGATCTGAGCGGAGGCGTCGGGCGGGACCCGCGGGGGTTTGGGGTTTTCCAGCGTCTTCGTCGGTTTTCGGCGGCTTTGCAGCCTCGGGGCGCTTCCTGGCAGCTGCGCCTCATCGAGGGGCGTCCAGGGGAGCCCCAGAGCGTCCCGAACGGCCAATGGGGAGCCGAGTCACGACCCGAAAGTCACGGGGCAGCGACAGGGGGGGGGGACAGGCTCGAGGGGGGAGGGAAGCATCGGCCCCGAATCGCCCACTGATCGCCGAGGTGGGCCTGGGCCCCCCACCCCCTGCCAGGGCCGTGCGCGTGCGGCCTCTCACCGTCGGGGGCCTGCCGCCGACGTATGGGCGAGGTAGCGCCGATTCCGGCGAGGTGTCCCTCCCTCTGAGTCGGTCTCTCCTCCACGTTGCCCCTCGGGCTTGCGGAAGGGTGGGGGGGGGGGCGAAGGTGGTGGAGTGATCACAGGCTGTGCGGGGCTTCCCTCCGCTGCGGATGTCCCCGAGGCGCCGCGGCACGTGGCCGGAGTCGCGCGAACGGGCCCCACTGGAGACATCAGCGGTGCGGGTGCCGTTTCCAGCTGCAAGCCAAACTCTTTGAACCGGATCTTGGTTGCCGCTCCCAGCTCTCCGCTGCCTCGGTCGCATGGTGGATCTCCTTTTGTTCATCTTCAGTGCCCCCCCACCCCTCTTCTCTACCCCAGGATGTAGGATGATGATGAAGAGGAGGAGGAGGAGGAGGAGGAGGAGGAGGAGGAGGAGGAGGGAGGAGGAGGAGGACGTGGTAAAGGAGGAGGTAAAGGAGGAGGTAAAGGAGGATGTGGGGGAGCGGGAAGCGGGGAGCAGGGTGGATTGAGAAGAGCCAATGGAGGAGGGAGGAAGATGAGGAGGGGGGGGAGGAGGGAGGGACGAGCAGTGAGTGATGACAGAGGAGAAGGCAGGGAGGAGGATTTTTCTCCCTCGGAGGGCAGAAGGTGCCCAGCTCCACGTCTGCGGACCCGATCCCCTCAGCCTCTAAAGTTGAGGGCGTTGACCATGGGGGCGACCTTGCCCTTGCCGATGTACGAGGCGTGCTCGCCGCGCCGCAAGAGTCGTAGGTCTTACTCTTGTCCACTCGAGGTACTTCTTGGAGGCATCAAACTTGTTCATGCCCATAGACTTCCCTTCGTTGTTGGACTCTCTTTCCGTACGAGGAGTACTTGCCGTGACCGTCGAAGGACTTAGGTATCAGCTCCTCCATCTTCTCGAAGTTCCCTGGTGGTACCGAATGTTCTGCAGGAACTTCACGTCCTCGACCTTCTTTGTCATCTCCTCCATCTTCTCAGCGACGGAGTGGTTCTTGGTGTCCCTTTTGTGGAGACGTGTGTTGTCCAGGATCATCACGTCCTCGACGCTCGAGGCCGAGACGACCTCCTGCACCTTCTCGGGCTTCTCCATGTTGTCGTCCAGCACCTCCTGCATGTGCTTCTTTCACTGCTCCTCCTCCATGCGCTTGAAGTCTGTGTCGGTCTCGGTCTCGGTGTTTCACTTGAAGCTTCGAGTGTTCTCCAGGAGCTGCACGTCGTCGACACCGATGACCGTACCGATGGCCTTCTTCTGGTCCGCGTAGGCCTGCTGTAGCGCCACGACCAGCGCCTTGGCGTCTGGATGCGCAGTGCGGTTCCAGACCTGGCTGAGCTTCTGGAACCTCTTGGCCAAATCCGTGCGGCCATCCTCCCTGAGCTTCGCCAGGGCCGCGGGAACCGTGTTGCACCCCATCGCCTGGAGCGCCACCTGCTGCATCTCCAGCTCGTCCGAATCTTGCTCGCACTTCTCTGGCATCGCCAGCGCTGCCGTGCCGAGGAGGCCCATCTCGATCGCCCGCCTCACGGCCAGCTTGCGATCTCCCGCGCAAAGCGGCGAGTGCGCGATCGCCTGGAGCACGCCCCCCAGGAGCTCCATCGCACGCGCCCGCGCGCGCGCACCGCCCGTGCGAAACCGCCGCCCGCTCGTGCCCAACGGCTTGAGCCAAAATGGCTACGGACGGCAGGGTGGAGGAGGAGGAGGAGGAGGAGGAGGAGGAGGAGGAGGAGGAGGAGGAGAAGGAAGAGAAGGAGGAGGAGGAGGAGGAGGAGGAGGAGGGTGGCTTTCTGGAGGTCTCCTGGATGGCCCGGGAGGGGCCGGATGCCCCTGGAGGGACCTATACGCCAGATGCCCCTAAAAGTGCCCGGCTTTGCAAAACAACGTAGCTTCTATCATTCTCACTCACCTTCGATCCTCGATCATCCTCGTTGATCTCCTCGATCCTTGATCCCCCTAGTCCCTCGATCCTCCTCCTCCCTTGTTCCCTCGTCCATCCTCCTCCCCTCTGCTGATCTTCGATCCTCGGTCCTCCCCTTCTTGAAGATTCATGTTCTAGGAGGTTGCATGCAGCATCGGCGCTGGCATCACAGTTTATTATGTTCAAGCCAGCTAAACTCTTCATAGCGTGCTTAATCCTCGGCTGAATCTGGGCCAATCGGGTTATATCTTTTTTGAATGTGTTTCAATCGACCTGGATCGGTTTTCGAAGACTTCTCCGAAGTTGCATCCTAAGACCATTCGACCCTCGATCTCGCCATCGTCCTACCTGGACGCCCGCCGCTCCATGCTCGGCGCAGACGCGGAGGTGGCGAGCGCCGTCGCCGAGGCGCTGTGCGAGGACCCTGGCGGGTACGCGGCGGAGCTGCAGATGTGGCCGCAGACATTGCCCCTGGTTTCGCAGTGCCTCGGCCTCTCGGGCGGGAGGAGGGGAGAATGGGTGGAGCTCCCTCCTCCGTCCATCCTCCCCCGTCCTCTCTACGTGTCGTCCTCATCTATTCCCCTCATCCCTTCCCCGCCCCTCCTCCTCTTCCTTCCAACGGCCCGAAAGCCACGGACCCTTCCCAGTCGACCTCCAACGTCAGAGCGAGGGGGCCGAACGGTCATTCATTGTCCCTGGGTGCGTGGCTTAAGCGGGTATCCGTGTGAGGATTCTGTTTTCTGCGCTGTTCGTTGTTGTTGTTTGTTGTCGTCCCACCCGCGACCCAACCCGCGACCCATCCCGCGACCCACCCCGCGACCCACCCCGCGACCCGCCCGCGACCCAACCCGCGACCCAACCCGCCACCCACCCGCGACCCACCCCGCGACCCACCCGCGCCCCCTCTCGCGGCCCACCGCGCGACCCACCCGCGACACACCCGCGACCCACCCCGCGACCCACCCGCGAACCACCCCGCTACCCACCCGTGACCCACCCCGCGACCCACCCGCGACCCCTTCCGCGATCCACCCGCGACCCACGTGCGACCCAACAGCGATCCAATAGCGATCCACCCGCGGCCCACCCGTGATCCAGCGGCGACCCATTTGATACCCACCCGTGACCCACCCGCGACTTATCCGCATTGGTTTAACGAAAATATCGGCGCCTGCGGCGGGCTTCTCCAGAGTCTCGCAGACTGCCAACGTCAGCACCGCCCCCTTACTCGTATCCGCATCTGCGGGGTGCTACGTATCAACAACATCAGGGCGAAGGGTTTGGGCAGGTTTCGGCATCCAGGGCCCTCGCGGGGCCCCAGGACCTTCAAACACGTCTCGGGATGAAACGCTGGCCCTGGGGAAAGGGTCTGGACTTCCAGCACGCTGCCCTTTACTACGGATCGGGTCGGACGAAGCGGCAGGGGGAATGGGAACGGCAGGTTACGAATACCAGCTACAGGTATTGTAGCTAATCTGCTACCCCGCTCAGCGAGGAGGAAGGGGAGGAGGAGCAAGGGTGTCCGCGGTTCGGTCAGTTCGGTTTGCGTCGCAGCCGGTTGCGTTCGCTCGGCTCGGTTCGGTCGATTCTTGTGTCTGGCGCTGCACCTGTGCGCCCGTCTGGGGGCCTTGCCGTCTAGCCATTTCGGTCGGTTTCGGGTGGCACGGTTCGGTGTCGGTCGGTCGGTTTTCGGTTGTGTTGTCGCCGTGGACGGCCTCGGGGACGGCCCAGAGCAGATGGGGGGAGCTCGCACCCACTGCCTACCGGCCGACCGGCCAGACGCCGAGGAGGTTTGTTGACCTGTTTTTGGGCTTCGGGGGCTGCGGGGACGTCCAGGGAGGAGGGGGAGGTTGTCCTCCTCCCTCTTCCCCTCTCTCGTCCTCTCCTCCTCTGTCCTCCTTGCCCCTCAATTCTATATTATTGTTCCTTGTAAACAGCGCCTCCCTGCTGCACCCCCAGATTTGTCGGTAGGGCGAGGCCAGCATTTTGCTTGAGATTTCCAGACACATTCGGATCCCTTCAAGGATGGAGGGCGGGTGGTTTTCAAGATGTTGCTCTCGCCATAGCGCCGCGCGCATTCGTCTAACAGGTTGCAATAATTTCAAGGGTGTAGGGCGGGTGGTTTTGAACATGTGGCTTTCGCCTTCTCTTCGCGCACATTCGTTTTACAAAGGTGCAACAGCTTGAAGGATGGAGGGTGTGTGGTTTTCAACATGCGGTTCTCGCTTAGTGCCGTGCGCATTCTTTGTAGATTTTGCAACAGGTCTTACCCTTCGTAGGCTTGAAGGCCCAGGGATAGTGTCTTGGCGCGAGCTTGGACAGTCAGGACGTAATAGTCACTTGCTTTCGCTGTGTTGAAGTCCCAGGAATGGCGCAATGGCACAGCTTAAATTTGTCAGGCTGCAACAATCATATTCATTCGCGGCCGTGAAATTCCAAGAGTTACATGTTGGTATAGTTGAGCATTCTCAAAAAGTTGTTTTCAACAGGGCGTCTTCCCGCCATGAAGCTATGTTCTGGTTGGACCTTGGAAGGAGGGTGGATTACAGTATCGTTGATGTTCTGAGGTTTCTCACTATTCTTCCTCCTCATTCCTCCTCGTCCTCATCCTCTCTCCTCCTCGTCCTCATCCTCCTCCTCCCCCCTCCTCCTCCTCCTTCTCCTCCTTCTCCTCCTCCTCCCACTCCTTCCACTCCTCCTCCTCCATTATCTTCTCTGTGCTCCCCTCTCCTGTCTTCTCCCTCTTCTCTCCTCTCCCCCTCTTCCTCCTTCTTGAAGAGGGGGTATTGGGAGCTTCTTGTATTTGGGCTTCCATGGAATTTGGCTTCCATGGCGTTCTTCTTGTCCGAAGCCGGGCGTGGGTCGACGACATCTTGTCACCCAGGAGAGGTCCAGGCATGCGTAGTGATTGTGCGGAAGTGGAGGATCAAGGAAACGCAGACAGGAGCCGTTGGAGATCCGAAGAAGAAATGACTGCATAAGGAGGAACATTCGCAGGTTCACCCGGATTCTTTGGATCTGCGCTAGACCCATCTGGCGCCGCTCCGCACGCAAGGGATGGGGTCTAGCGCGGATCCAGGAGGTTCGCACGGACCTCCAAACGCTTCTGCTTACTCATGTTGGCTTGCCAGATGGCTGCTGCTCCCCAGTCCCTCACCAACCCGCCCGTCGATTCCGGAGGAGGCAGAGGTGATGGCGGAGGGGGAGGCCTTCCTCTTTCCTTCAACGCTGCCCTGGCCGGAAGGCGGCGCAGCATGCTTACGGTTTAAGTATAGAGGAAGCGCGACCATGGATAGAGGCGCGTGGATTTGCGACGTATCCCGCTTGATTGCCAACTCGGCGCGCTCCGTTGCCGACTCGAACCGCGTTGGCCTCATGTTTCGTGGGATGCTTTCCCTGGTCCGTGGATCTGGCGCCTACGCGCCAGATTCATGGATCCCTACGTAATCCATGTCAGAACGCGCCTGAAAGTGAGGGAAATGGAGGCAGCACATGGTCATATGAGGAATGTTGCCTACACGGGGGTCGTTCTGAGACACCATCAAAATACCATAGCCCCGCAGTCGCGGATAAGAGTGAGGGGGCGGGGCGGGAGGTCGTCGGCACACGAAGTTAGATTCTTCATGCTTCGCGTATCACCACCAGCTTCTGTTAATTCGTCTGTGAAAAGTATCGCCACCAGTTCTTTCACGGTCGGCACCTGCAGATCCAACCCCGAGGGAACGCCTGATGATTCAGTGAGTGACGTCATCGCATTGTGGGCGCCGCCGAATTCAGCCATTTTGGCCTGCTGCTGGGTCCTCGCCTGGTTGTCTGAGCTGCGGTTGAGCCCGCTTCTGCCGCTTAGGTTGTATGTATACCCGCCGCTTGTCTGCTGCGCGCGTTCGGTTCGTTCCAGGCCGCTGTGATTCAGGTCGTTGTGCTAGTCGGCAGTCTCCTGACGGCGCTTGCGAACAACAACTATTCTCACAAGCAAATCATCCCAGGGAGAATCGACGAAGATTGTTGCCAGGCAGCTGAGATTCACGCAGAAATCTCATTATGCAACGTGGTCACGAGTGGCGGACACGTAGTGGTCATCGGCGACCCGCACCATTTAGCCCCTTTACGGTGAAATCTAAGTGGGCAGCCCCTTTGGGCATGGGGAATTTCATCTCCGAGAAAGTTCAAATGTCCGTGGCGGGAGCACAGCGAAACGGTACTCCATTTGACGCAGTGCTATCGGATGCACCCTGACGTGTTGGCCTTGTCCTTCTTCAGCGTACTACGGTGGGGGATCATTTCGGCGTTGAGTTCCCCTATGACGGATCGCGCCAGCGTTGCTGGCCTACCTTGGGTGACGCACCGCCCCATCGACTCAGAGCGGGCGAGAAGGCTCGCCGCGCACCTGGGGGGAACACGTTGAGGCACTTCTACGGGATATCGACGGACTACATACCAAGGGAATGGCACGCGGGGGCGCGCGCCAGGTCTTCACATAGACAACCCGCCACATGATTCTCCCCCCAATACGCAGAGCGGCTGCGCCAACATCCGCGAGGCAGCGATCTGCGTGGGCGTTGTTCGCGTTCTGGCCCCCGCCATGGGGATGTCGGACACCGCGGTCGCAGCCATCAGCGGCTACGCGGCGCAGCGGAGCGTGCTTCGCGGTGGGCGTCTTCGAACCAGAGCCGGATTTGCAGCCGTCGCACGCAACCTCAGGTACAAGTCCAGAGCTGCGCCGCCCTGAGGAGCCCAGAGCACAGGCGTGCGAGGGACGCCCGCTGCAGACTGACAAACCAATGAGCCGCTCACCCACTGGCTCGCAGACGGCAGCGGCATCAAGTGCGGCCGTCGACGCACGCCCTGCGGCACAGTCCAAAAAACGACGCGAACGTCAAAACCCCAGCAGGTGCGTCTGCGCGGAAAATACGACGGACGTCAGGGGCCTGGGGCTTCAGTTCGAGAGCTTGGCGCAGCAGTTCCCTGATCTGCTCAGCTCCGGTCAGCTTCCACTCGCCGCCATCGACTTCAGCCAAGGCGACGAGGCCGACATCGGGTACTACTTCACCACCAGGTCAAATTACCAGTGCGATTCTGGTTTCATCGGCGACCGCAACCGCACCGACGTCGCCGTCACCAGGGCCAAGCGCTTCGCTGTCCTCATCGGCGACGTCGGGATGTTCGGCGCAGCCAGCGAATCCATGCTCAGGACGTGGGCAGAGTGCGGGTGGCCAATCTTTGGGCGCGAATGCTGGGCGGCTCCTTCCTGGGGAGCAGATTCAAGCTGGAAGCTCACAAAGACTGGGACTGCATCGAGGATGTGCACCACTGGGTCCCACCACGCGGACTCCGACGTGATCGGGGTCGACCGTGCTATGGCAAAAGCCAGAGAAAGCCAGGCGATGGGGCTCCGCCTACTACGCGGACCCCCCACTGGACCGAGATTTCTCTTGGGAGGTGCTCGCCAAGCAACTGAAAGGCGCGCCGCGCGGCCCGTTGAACGCGCCCGTTCTCGGCCTTGTCCTGCACTTGGCGAGTGGCCCCCATCCACGCGAGTACGGCGCCCCCAGCCAACCGACAGACCCAAGCCGCCATGGCCGTGAGATGCGGAGCCACAAGGGCTTCCTCGACGACGTGACCTTGGGGAATGACGCGAGCAACTTCGTCTACAGCGCGTTGCGGGCGGCCGGGGTGCGGGCTTGCGGACTCGGACTTTAGTGGGGCGACGCCGACTCCTTTGCATCGGCAGACGAGCTTCCGAACCGCCCGCAGCTTGGTCCGCGATGGCGACGCAGGCCGCGCCGGGGGCGAAGCGCTCCGCCACCCATGCCGAAACAGTTCGCAAGCGCTTGGAAGCGCCCTGCACTGCGCTGCAGCAGGCATCGCGCGCACCCTGGGATGAACGGACTGGAAGCCGTTCATCGTGGACACGCCGGCCCCGTCCCGCAGCTGGACACTGCGCTCCAGGGGCGGCGCCAACCCAGTCCAAGTAGGGCAAGCGGGCGTCGCGCTCACGGCGGCGACGCTTCGCCTGGGAACCCAGGGCGCGCATGTTCCCATGCTCACAGCAGGAGTGGGCCGGTGACGCAATCCAGGTTGCCCAGGGGCCCTGCGGACCCCGCATCAGCGTCCCAGGGGGTCCACTTCCTCGAGCTCTTCCAGAAGACCTCGGGTTTGACTAAGGACGACTTGCTGCGCCTGCATGGCTGTTTTGAAAACGCCCTGCTGCGCATTGCCTGCCTGGTGCGCGCGAGTGATCATCGCCCACTCGCCAAGAAGGCTGGATGCTCGCGCGCCAGTGCTGAGACGTCGCGCGGCAACTTTCACTTGCGCTCTACGCTTATGGGCCTGGAGGCGCTGGTCGCCCCAGCCAGGCGCGCTGGGTGCGCCTCCGCTAAATGCTCGGCCGGAACGCTCCGCGCCAGTCTCGTCGGCAGCGACGCGCGCCCGGGGAATGCAGGCGACGACGACCTCTGTTGCATCGGCGGAGGCGCCGCCATCAGCGAGACCAACTTCTTTGCGCCCTCGCCCCTGGAGCAGCACCTGGCGTCTAGCTCGCCCCCCCGAATATTTGGAGACGCGCGGTTGCTCGAGGAGCAGCAGGGCGCGCGCGCTCTGCGACCGACGCAAGAAAGGACCATTCGAGATTTGCGAGGGCACATGGGAGGGCGACAAGATCCGCTCCTACCCGGCGCAGAACCGGGAGCTCGCCTATAACGGCGGTCTCCATTGCCGATGGCTTTTTCTGCGGTGTCAGGCGCGCTACCTGGGAGACAAGGGCGCCGAGGCCCTCGCTGGCCGCAACGTGGGGGGCAAGTTGGCCGCCCACCTAAAGGACCGCAGCGCCGCGCAGGGAGCACGGGTCAGCAACGGCGCCGATTGGGCGCGCCCTGGTGCCAATCCCCAGCCGTTGCCACCCGCTGGCCCAGCTGCCCCCGGCTGTCGCAGGAGCGGACGACCCAGCGCTGATAAGCCGCACCGCCCCCAACTGCCACCCCATCGACGACCGCCTTGGCGCTGGCGCCACGGAGCCCGGTCCGGACTGCATCTGCCATTTGCGACTGTTGCGTCGGCGACGCTGTTCAGTTGGCGCGGGGGCCTGGCCGCCCTGCCCCGGGCCCCTTTTTCTGGGAGCCAAGTCCGGGCCAGGGGTGAGCCCGTTTCTTTATTGCTTGGGGCGTAACGGGCGCCATGGCCCCCGACCCCCACCCCTATGACGTAGCGCCCCCCCCCAGTGCGCTCCAGGCGTTGCCGCCGTGCGTTTTGGGATCCGCGTAGGTGTCCGCATAGGAGTCTGGTCCGCAGTCGTCGTCGTCGTCGTCGTCGTCGCTCGTGGCTTGTCGCTCGTCGCTCGTAGTCGTCGCGCGCGCGGACGCGGCTGAAGCCTGCTTTGCATTCCGGGCCGACGATGGGAATCATCTAGGGGGGGGAATCGATGTCGTCACGTTTCGCGCCGGCGGCGTCTGGGAATGCGTAGGAATGACGGAGGACGGGTAGCGCCAGCATGTAGGTGGCGATTTGCACCACAACGCATATGTGCACCACAAAGCTTGCGTGCGCCGCAGCGCCTGTGTACACCACACCGCCTATGTACAGCACAGCTGTCGCGTGCAACACAGCGTCAGTTTGTGCCACCGTGCCTGCGGGCACAGCAGCTCTTGTGCACGCCGCAGCGCTCGCGTACACCACATCAGCCGTGTGCAACACAACACCACTGCACACCGTACACCGCAATGCATGCGTGCATTGCACTGCCTGTGTGCACCACGGCGCTTGTGTGCACCACGGCAACAGTGTGCAACATATCACCACCGTCGTATATATATATATATATATATATATATATATATATATGTATATGTACATATAATGGTTTAACAAAAATTTTAACAAAGCGGAGCGCTTGTGGATTCCACAAAAACCAAGGGAACATATTCCTTATGGACAACTGAGCGCAACTGGAATCTACGTGTCCTCCCGAGTCCGCCCGCGTCACCCTAGCTCCCCCCAGCTGCGTCCAGGAGGTTCCAGCTAAATTGGCCGTTCGAAAACCAAGGGGGCCGATTTAATCGACCATTTAGTGGCGCGCGCTGAGGTGCGCGCGTGCGCTGTAGCGCCAAACCGCACGACACGGGGTGATGAGGAGGAGGAGGAGGAGGAGGAGGAGGAGGAGGAGGAGGAGGACAAGAAGGAAGAGGACGAAAAGGACGAGGATGAGGAGGAGGAGGAGGAGGATGAGGTCCTGGAGGTGCAGGGGGAGGAGGAGGGAAACACGTCGCATTCGATTATCAGCAGATCTCCTGGCGTGGTGTTTAGTTGTCCGCAGCAGATCCTCACGTACATGCTCCTTCCTACCTGTCCTATGTCCGCAGGCATTGTGGTGTACACCAGTGCTGCGTTGCACGCGGATGCTGTGATGTAGACGCGCCGTGGCGTGCACAGGCGCTGCGGTGCACGCAAGCAATCTGGTGTACACAGGCGCTGCGTTGCACATGGTAGCTGCGGTGTACACATGTACACTGGCGCTGTAGTGTACGCAAGCACTGTGGTGTACACAGGCGTTGCGTTGCACACGGTTGTTGCGGTGTACGCAGGCGCTGTGGTATACACGCGCGTCGTGGTGCACGCGAGTGTTGTGGTGTACGCAGGCGCAGTGGGGCATATCGCCACCTACATGCTGCTCGCGTCGTCGTCGTAGTCGCTCGTCGCTCGTCGCTCGTCGCGTCGCGCGCGTTGGCGCGGCTGCGGTGCCGGAGCCACACGGCGGGGGGGGCGTTATGTCATACCCCCCCCGCCCCTCTCCCCCTCATGATGCCCGTCATCGCCGAACATGAAGAAACGCGTTCGGTGCGATGTTACATGTGGCTTTCCCGGACGGGACCGGCGGGCGGATTATTGGTCGTCCTGTTTGTGGAACGCGCCGTGGCACTGCCGCGTATGCGTGGCGAGCATCTGGGACACTGCGCCCAGCGTCTTCAGTGTCGTATTCGACAGGGACTCAATCTGCATGTACACCCCCTTCCCAGCACAGAGACCTCCGAGGCCCCACCCCAAGACCGACGACGGCCTGCGGGGGGAGCTTGGCCGCGCCCGCGCCGTAGCTAAGCAGGACGGGGGCGGGGGCCGACTTGGGGAAATGACGCAACCCAACGCCACCATGCCGGACAGCTCGGACATCACGTGGTTTAACCACATCTTCGACCTCCTGCCCTATCTTGACCCCCCTCCATTGCCCGGTTTTCGGGCGCAGACAGACCGGGGCCCTCATGCAGGCAGCGGGCGACGAGCGCACTGAAGTAGCAGCTGCGACCCCCGTGCAACTGGCAAGGCGCATCCGTTGCCTCGACCCAGCTGCCGACGACGCTTGGATCGACCTCGCGGACCACGACGGCCCCGACGCCTGGGGACACGAACTCGCCCGCGTTTCATCCGAGCGCTCCTTGATGACGCCATCGCCGGCAACGAAATTCCACGTGACATCGCTTGGAGTGGCAAGCGGCGGGCCGCAGTCTGCCTGGTGCGGCGTCTCGCCCAGGAACAGTTGTCGAGGCACTCCTGGCAACGCTGCGCCCGGAGGGGCGCGCCACACAAGGGCGCCGACCTTGTTCGCCACCGGGTGGGCGCGCTCGTCGACTGGCTTGCCAGCCTCAACCCAACAGCGCTCACCGACGACGCAGTGGTGCAGAGCGAAATGGGCGCCATCAATGCGGACCCAGCGCCGACGCCGAGCGGCTCAGACGAGCCGCCACGCGCGGGCCCTCTTCCCGACGCCCAGGCCGGGACGGACGGGGGAGCGGCGATGGGCGCGGCAATTGGTGACCAAGCGGAACGCCCATCTCCACGGCGCGCGCCCAGGCAGGAAGCAGAGCCGGATCAGGCAACGAAACCCGACGCGGACATTGCGGCCATTGTGTGCGATGACGGAAGGCAAGCGGACCCTGACAGCACGGTCGATTGGGGCTGGGGTCCCGAGAGCGAGGCGCTTCAGATGAGCCCCGAGACACCAGCAGATGCGGACCCCCCTCCACCTCCAGAGCCCCCGCCGAGGAGGGAGCTAACGGGAAGCCTCCGGCTCGCACTATCGCACTCTGCACCTCCGAGCAGGCCAGCAGCAGCCAGGATCCCGTCGACGCGCGGAGGCCACTTTCACCCCTCTGACTCCTGGAGGCCGCAACAGGCGGTGGGGTCGCGGCAAGGGCCAGCCTGGACCCCGACCGAAGGCCACGGCAAGGGGCGCGACCGACGGACACGGAGCCCCTGCGACCAGGACCGACGGAGCGGGACACGCACGCACAGCCCCGCAAGCATCGGACGGGCCAGCCGCAGCTCCAGCTGGAAGGCACGCAGCGACGCGCACACGCGCGGGTCCACCTGGTCAAGCCCTGCACGGAACAAGCCAGCGGGAGGTGGCATCGAGGCAAATGGCGCGACAGCGCCGCCAACCCAGTCACGCCAGCCGACCGCCGCGCCCACGACGGCAATCCAATGCTTAAGACGCCCACACACATGGCGGAAGCACAGAGCAGGGATGAAGACAGCGGCCACTTCATCAAGAGAAAGCAAACCGAGCTCGGCGCCACTTTCAATGTGGTCTGTCGCCGGTGGGCTGAGCGGTGCGAAACGCGCCCTGTTTTTGCTCCTAAGGACCCATTGGTGCAGAGCTGGCAGGCCTGCGACGAGTTCCTGGACGCCTGGCGCCCCTGCAACTACGACGCCTGCGCGAACGACCACCACCTGGTGCTCAAAGCCAACTTCGGGAACGCGCGCCAAGAACGCATGGCCCACGACCGGGGCAACGCTGGGCAATCAGGCAATGGCCGCGACCGCGACGCAACTGACGCGCGAAATGGCAAACAGGGCAAGCGCAACCACGACTGGGACGGACCCCTTTATCAGGAAATACACATCGACAGTAGGCCCCCATATTGCGCGCTCGGCTGCGCCATCCACCGCCTCCAGGCAAGCGACCCTTCGGGCCGTGCTGACTTCTGGGTACTTCTCTGCTTGGCCACATTGCTCCGCTTCCTGCTCCTTCCTTCCCTCTTCCTGTCTTGCGCGGGGTGTTCCATCTTGCATTTGCAGCGATCAGCTGCCGCCGCTTCCTGTCTTCCCGCCTCTCCTCCCTCTTCGTCGCCGGGTTTCGCTTGCGCGCGGTTCTACGATCCCTGCTCGCGCAGCCTGGAGCATTGCATCGCCTGGGGTACGCCTCTGCCTTGGGTGGCCATCGCATGCTTTCTCTGCGCATTTGCAGCGATCAGCTGCCGCTCCTAATCCTTACTGCTCCATGCGTTTGCGGCGATCAGCCGCCCTGCCCCGCCTCTACTGTCCTGGGAGCATCGTCTGCGTAGCTCTCCAGATCGCCCCCGGGTCGGCGGCCCATTACGAACTTCTGCAGTGGCCGCTTGGTCTGGCAGCGGGCGGCTGGCGCGCTGCCGCTGCGCCCTCGGCGGCGGCGCCCCGCTGCCCCTCGTCGTCGCGATGGCCGTAGGGGATCACGGCGACGGCGTTCGGCATGGGCGCGCCGTTGATCCTGCCAGGGGTCCTCGCCGTCCGCTTGAGGCGTCGACGGCGCGGTCTCCCTGGCGATGTTCGTTGCGGACCGCTGGCCGCTGGGCCGCCGGCCGCCTGCCGCGCCCCGCGCGGGTAACCTGCTGCGGCGGCGCTTCGCGCCTACTTGCGCGGCATCGCCGTGCCGGCCACTCAGCTGCCTTCGGGCCTCGACGCGCGGGGCGCCCCGGTGGCTGGTCGCGCTGCTCGTGGCCTTTGCGTTCGCGCTGACCTGGGGGGCCCTTGATTCTCTCCGTGAAGGTCCACGCCGCCCCTGCACTGGGGGGCCCCTGTATTCCTTGGGGCGGTCCTAGAGCAGCCCGAG